CCCCTCACAGTCAAACAGCTGCACTTAACACTCAACACTTAATTCAACTGTTGTAGTTTGACCTGCCTGTCCATCTGGGGACAGAATTCCTTTATTTATGCATACTTTTTAATAGAGCTGTCAAATCCAAGTTTATAGGACAGACAAAGTCAAATAAAAAGACTTCTAACTAAAGAAAAAAGGGACATTTTGGTCGATGACTCACATATCAATTGGATTTGGGGACTATTGCCCTGTGACAAAAATATGTGGTGTTTCAATAGATGTAAGGACCCTTGATATTATAATCTTCTCAATTCAGGGTAAGCCCATGATAAGCTACAATACATAGTTTCACAATCCCGTATTGTTTGCTCCTTTTTTGTCTGAAAACAACAAAGAGTTCCTGGTCTTAACAACAATGGTTATATTACATATACCCTGCTAAACCGGTGGTTCGTCTGGGAGTAGTCCGACTCATTGGGTGTAAAATGTGGGTATATGGCTGCTATGGACAGAATATTTTAACACAGCATTCTCTATCTGTGTGTTTTGCAGGGCTCTGTCGATACATCCTGTGCTTAGTTTGACTGGCTTAAAGAAATACAAACAAGAAGGAATGTTCTTTTCCCCTATGGCAGAACGATAATGAGTGTAGCCAGACCTTTCTCCTGTGCTGACACAGCACCTTGCAGGATGGTCTGGCTATGGGAGACTACTTTGGGAGTAGAAACTAGAGCTGCTCCTTTGGGAAAGCCAATAAGACTGTCTGTGAGGGAGTTTTTCAAAGAAACAACAATACATGCTTCCGGGATTCCAGGTAGTGATCCTCCAAATGATACATTGAATGGACGGTTTAATAGACTTTATAGAGGGATAAGTAAATTAGATTAAGTCTATCATTCTTAACCATTTGGATTATGAGCTTAAAAGAAAAAAACACTATAGGCTTAAATACAAACTAGTCTCAGCTCAGAAAGAAAGGTATTCATTGAATTTGTGTTAAGAATTCATTGGGAAAATACTGTTTCCATCAACAGGTATAAACAATACAGGATTCTGGTGCAATATTGTGTTGGTTAACAGTATTGAGACCCTTGGAGCATTTTAAAATTAAGTTATTGCAAAACAATTAGATCATTCTTAGAGAACTATATTTTTCTGGAACCATTGCCTTTCGCCAACATTATGCTGGACAACTGTCAGCACGATCTAAATAAAGAAAATGTGACACAGAAGCATTGAATGAGTGAGAATTGGTAGCTAGCAGCAAGTAATGCTAACCTGGATGACACCAATACATCACTTTAGCTAGTGGTGAGAAAAATACCTGAAACCTGCACCCAAACTGCAACAAGACCTGGAGTTAGAACATGGTAAACCAGGCAACTCACAAAAAGAGAGCTTTTATCATATCACATAACTTGTTGCTAAAGAGGAAGACAAAAGACTACACCGGCAAAAATGCATCTGGGCCATGCTAAAAGACGTTTGCTAACATAGCTAAATGAAACGGAGGAAATAAAAAGATACAAAAAAAAAGCTATTCATTTTCTACGTTCTTTGCTAGTTCAAGTACAAGCAATCCTGCTTAATTTATTATTTTTTTAAATAAAAAGAGCTAACCCTGTTCCTGTAGTTGTCTTGTTGCTCACTTTCCTCCTGGCAAAAGGCTAAACTCCTGAACCACACCTGGCAAAGTAGATGGGCCTGGATGATTGGACTGTGCCATTCTCCTAAAACCATAGGGGTGTTCTAAGGAGTCACTTCAACCAGGCCACCCCTTCTTTAAGTGGAGCAATGTCTTCTTTCCCCTGCAATTTACTATTTACTGGCCAGCATGGGTATTTAATCATACAGTCAGGAAAGGAGGCCAATGTCACTTGGACAGAGATATTGTAATAATTAATCTTAGGCTCTAGAGCAGTTCTGTTAATATTATATATTAACTATTGTGTCCCTCAGATGTTGTTACCCATTTTAAACATTGTACATCATTTGTACAATGTAATAATGGTCCTTCAACACGATACATTTCCTGTACATGTGTTGTCGCTGCAGATTAAATGCTGTCCCTTATGTTTGCAAGGACACGCAGCGATTACACTATTTAAAACAGCAACAATACTAATGTTTAGGAGGTAATTGAAGAATAAATCCTACACGCATTACATACTTTTTGATTAGCCTTGTTGTAATTGTGTGTTTTGCTAAATCATTCATCCTTTTGGCAATTACATCCAAGCTGAACAAAGTGGACTGCCTATAAAAAGCAAGGGAAGACTGGAAATCACAAGACACTCTGCTTCTCACTAAATAATAAACCCATTTAATCAAGTGAGTGAGAAGATGGAAGTCTTTATTCCATCTGTGTGCAGCTGGGTGTTGAAGTGGAAAAAGTGTTTTTTGTTTGGCTTCCACACCTCTTCCATCTCCCAAGTTGGATCTGTTTTAAATGGAGGCCCTCAATGCAGCCCTGTGACAGCGACAGCGTTGAGCAGAAAAATGCATGGCCCGTTAATTAGACACATGAATGAATCGGTTTTAGAACTTCTTTGCTGCTCATTGTTGGTCCACCCCTCAAATTGAAACGAGAATTACAATGTCGGCAGACTAGTAATTAGTTTGAGACGGACGGAATCCCCGCTCGCTTAATGGAATCAAAGAGGAGAAAAGATGATGGATTGTTTGTGTCTAGTGTGTGTGTGTGTGTGTGTGTGTGGTGTGTGTGTGTGTGTGTGTGTGTGTGTGTGTGTGTGTGTGTGTGTGTGTGTGTGTGTGTGTGTGTGTGTGTGTGTGTGTGTGTGTGTGCGTGTGCGTGTGCGTGTGCGTGTGTGTGTGTGAGAGAGAGAGCCAGATGCTTTAATCATGTTACATTGTCCTGAGAGGCAGGCTAAGTGTGTTACCACTATTGTGTCAGGAGTGCTGTTTTCACATTGGGCTGGTATGGAATGTGTTCTGTGAGATCAGAGCAGAGACGACACCAGGGTCCAAACTCAATCAGCAGAAGATAATATGACGGTCACTTAAAAAAAAAAACGGAAGGCCCTGAGCAGAACAATGGACTCCTGCGGCAGCTGCACATTGTTTGGTTCTTCGTAAGAAGCAATCGCTGTTTTTAATAGACAATTAATAGCGTGTCATGTTTGCAAAGCTGGGGATTTGCTTTGTGCCATTAGACCTGAGCCAACAATCAATTTGAACTACCAAAAGCAGTCGCTTTGATCCACCTGGAGTGTTACACTGACATGATTTTGGCACCGAATATGACATTCTGCTCTCTAGTTCTGCAAAAGAAATGTATTCTGGGTGATGTTGTCACACCTGATTAAACCTGACAAATTAGGAAATTAGAGAGGTTTAAAGAGATTAGGTTTCTATGTTAGTGTATCACATGGTCTGTGTTGGGCCAATTCTACAAGCAAAAAACTAAAACCTATAAATGTATAGAGTTTTGGCTATAACACTCATGTGTCATAATAATAAAAGAAAACATAGTGAAGAATGATATGCAGTTTATGCGAAAGGATTTGGTCACTAGCTAGTCACATGATCATCAAATCCAGATTAACTGTGTAGGAATCAAAGTCAGATTTCTTTCAAGTTCAAAGCCTCCTGCTGCAAAGTGATATTGATTAATTCCTCGTGCGTCTCCGAGCTTAAAGGTGCTGCGGTGTGTGTACTCAATGTGAAGGAAAGGGCTTTAAGATTGCATCTTCATCTTGTCAGTAAACCTCCACCTGAGTTTTTGACAGATCTGTATCCTTTCTTGAAGCAAAGAAGGCACATACAACCAGGTTTATAAGAGGTTTTAAATTATCATTCTTGCGCTTTAGTTTTCACACTTATTTTAAAGTGATTACAGCCTAATTGCCTCATGTCCCATTCACCTTCCCGTTGTCATTCTGCATGTTCATAATGAGGACAAGAAAACGAATAACACTAGTGAGAACTGATAACAGCTAATAGCCTACTTGTTTTTAAAATGAGGTCAGCTGAAGTGAATATAATTAATGGAATTTAGTTGCATAAAAACTTAATAAGTAAAAACTGTTCTTCTTTGTTCATTTATAAAGCTACTCTGGAGGTCACTGTCTTTAAAAAACGTACAACCATCTTTTATGTTGTGTGGTTACAAATGTAGTCAACTAGCTTGCATAGATAATAATACGCTAGCTTGGTGTAGCCTACAGTATTTCACAGCTACACCAATCATATCATTAGGGCTGGCCTATCAAAGTACACTGACTTCTATTTGTTAATCCGTACATATTGTATATTCAATAGAGATACTCTATATACATATGTCACTGTTGATATGTACATATGTACTGTTTTGTTTATTTGTTTATTATTATTTTACTGTTTACAAGTTTTTGCTGTTTATGTTAATTTAATTTAATTTGTAATTCATGTGCAATGCTTGTCTAATTAAATCAGTTGCACACGCAGTACATGTTTTTCAGCGTTTTGTAAGCGCAAAACACCATGCAGAGTTGTAATTAACTGTCACTTTAACAATGGCAAACTTTGCTAATCCATCATTTAGTTTGACGTCCTGTTGTACTGGAACTCAATGTGATGTGATGTCCAGATCTTTGTTTAAAAAAAACTGTGGTTACTTATTAAAAACAAATGATATACATATCTTATTTGAATATTCAGGCAAAGAAAAATATATAGCTACCAGATGTATGTATTTCTTCCCATTTGATATACGGTGATTGTGTGAATTATAAGAAAACAACAATATAGATACATTACATGTCACTTGTTAGACGCTTTTATCCAAAGCGACTTACATACTTAATACTGTGGGCAGTATTCTCTCTCGCCTCAAACAAAATGGTGTGTTTTGACATGTGGATTCAATCATCTAGATGACTTTTGGACTCAAATCAAGAGTGAACCTCTAATGTGACCAGCTCTGAAGCCATTCACCTGCAAGAGCACAGCTGACACACACAGGTAGAGCGTTCAGAAGAGGATCTGACAGGTGTGAGACAAACACACAAACACACCTGATGCTAGTCATGCTTCCGGTCTCAGAGCCAAGCTTGCATCTCTCCAGCTGACTGGCAACGATCTGCCGCTCTGCTTCCAGCTCCCTGGTCAGACGTTCAAACTGCAACTCCTGGAGGGAAAGAGAAAAAGACATGTCAAAACATTCTGTTTATTAACACATTTACAGTCTTCCTGAACATTATTTTGGCCATGTTGTCAAACACATTTTAAATTGTTGTGAAATGGACTCTGCCGTCTGTGGTGGGAGAACGGGCTAGATATCACTGTGTCTGGCAGAGAGTCGGTGAGAAATGTCGCAAACACTGACACCACACTAACGCCATCCCATATGTGACATTTGTTATTCTGCTACTAGCAAAGTTGAGAAACAGATGAAGTTTGGGGAATGTAGAATGTTGTTGTTGTTTTCTACATAAAGTGTCAGTTTTGCATTAAAGCTTTAGTTTGAAGCCTGCCTGACAAGCACGCTGTATGGATTTACACCCTGCTGTTACCATGTGGTGGCTGATATGAAGGGAGGGATGAAAGAGGTTGTCAGTCACATCACCCCAGTTAAATACCCATTACGTAGATGCCATGTTGCGCACCCTAAAGAAGCACTCTCACCATGAGAGAACTGGATGTTGATGTTCATAAAACCAGGTGGATCAGGAAGCAGTTATGCGACAATATATTTGTTTTGTTTCCCTAAAACGTTCTTTCTGTTCTTGTTGAATATCTGTCCTACCGAGTCTGTCAAGAAAGACATAAAAAGACCAAAATATAACCCTAAAAAGATAGATGTGATACACAAAATGAAGCTAAAGCGTAAATTCAGTCAGGAAGACTGGCTATACGTTCATTCACTCCTCAGCTCATTTTACCACAATCTCCAGCAGCCAATCATAGTGCTGTCAAACTTTAAATATGTTCTCTTCTCTCCTGCAGTCAGCTGTGATTTCAGACCCAGTTTGAGATAATCCAACGACCACTTCTCCTCAAATCTAGATCTTCAGCATCCTCGTCATCCCAGTGTTCAGACCACGGGGGGATTTCCTATTCTATTTAAGGCTGCACGTCCCCCTTAAGATATAGGATATCAGGATTGGATAATCGCCAAAAACAATTAACATTCTATCATATCGCACATGTGTCAATAAATGTTCTTTAAAAGCCCCGAGCCTGTTTTTCAGGTTTCAGGCTCGAAAATGACATGCCCAAAACAAATGACTACAACTTCACTTCTAAAAGGGTTATATGAATAATTTATTTTATCAAAGCAAGGTTACATCTGTGAGTTGGATGTAGAAGTGTCAGAATCAATATAGATTTTTCTCAGTCAGAGTAAATTCAGATGGAACATAGTAAAAAAAGGTAAATTCTTACCTCCGCCTAAAGAAAAAACATTACTTATAGTGAAAACCACCCTTGAATGATGGGATGGTAGACTAAAAGCTTTAGGAATCCAAACTATAACATATAATAAGAACCCTGTATCAAGATTGAGGCAAAACAAGTTAAATTTGACCTTTTTAGAGAGGTTTAGCAAAAAGAAGTTCCAGGCGGAATAAGCTTTCGGCACATTTGGGTACATCTGGTTCCATCAGTGCCATTTGACCTTTTTCAGGTACCAGACTATAAAAATGATGTATTACATTAAATTATCACCATAGGTATTCATTCCATCCAAAGAAAAAAAAAAAAAGAAAAAAAATTAATAAAGAAAAAAAAAAACATTTTTTTTTTTTTTTTTGTGAAAAAAAAAGACCCGCCGACGGGGGCTTTGGGGCTTAACAGGTTAAACAAATAATGAAGTGTTATCCTTTTTCTACTAAAATAAATTATATATAATTGTGCCAAAAACACCCAAAACATGTTCTAGAATAACAGTAAACTGGCAGTTGATTACAATTCTTAAGTAAAATACATGTCACATTGGATGGGTCAAATACAAAGACTACATGTCATTGTGTGTGCGGTGCTGTGTGAGGATTTTCTTTGAATCCTCCATTTTCATTTTAAGTTCTCTTTAATCACTTTTGTACGTGTGAAAGAATGTGTTTTAATGAACGGTTCTTCCATTGTTTTCATGCTTAATTTATGCTATTCAATGTGTGATGAACCACTATCAATTAACTTACGCACAGCAAACAAACAAACAAACAAACAAATGGCTGATTATATAGTATTTGTGTCTGCTACTACGATCATAGCTGATTAAACGTAACCTGTGATTTAACCAACTTGTGTGAAGAAAACAAATAAATATTTGGATCGCAGATGGTTTTAAATCAAGCCAAGGGCACTGAGATCCTGCACACTGGAGCAATGGTCCTGAAATTATGATTTAGATCTTAAATTGCTTGGACATTTTCCTGGTAGCTTTCCAGATAATAAAAGTGATGGAATTATAATAAATCATGTCAGAGCTGGAGATACAATCTATAAATGCCCCCCGGTCAAGGAGATACTCTGAAAGAGATGTGAGCTCATCTAAAAGTGATAAAAGTCTGAATTTGAATCTGATTAATCTCTATAAATGTAATTTAATATGATGATCAATTGCTGACTTTTAAAGTGACAACAGTAACTCAATGTGTGAGGATCTTTGAAGTGACACAAGCACACATGCAGGACAAATATGACTTATTATAAAGGTAAATAAGACACTTTTCAACACCCAAATTGTTTATGTGCAAAATAAATGTCCCATTGCATTAGTAAAACCAAATCCTTGTGGAGTTTCAAGCCTAATTAAGCTTCATACAGTACATTTAGAAAGAAATTGCATGTCATTAAAAGTGAATAAAAAGACTGATCTGTTTGCACAGACACCGTCAGAGACAGTTCTATTTCATACTTACTGACCGCCAGAGGCGGTGCTTTAGCACTGGATATCTTCTGTCTCGCGCATGCGTAGGTCGAATATTTATATCAACAAAGTCACGTGTGACCCCGTATGACACCGGAAGGTATAAGTTCCGGTGCTGTCAACGGGCTCAGTCCTTTTTCATCTTCTCGCTGCGTAGGTTACTACTTATGAGTAGAAGCCAAGCTAAGCTTACTGAAAATTGGGATTCTAGCTCATCGCTACCTGTAGCCTTGCGATCGTTTGATCGGAGCTGCGGGCTAGGAAAAACGCTCGCCCTCCAAAGGCTGCGACGAGCTGTCCGTTCTCCCAAGGGAGAGGACCGCGGTGTTCACCGCCCGGACCCCAGGAGCTCCGGACCGGTAAAGAGCGGACGCTCCTGCACACAGCCGGTGAGATCGCTACCAATTATTGCTGATTGTGCTATATCTATATACTCTCAAACTAATGAGATAATTGTGTACAAATTAACCGAGGGCTCTCGCTAATTTGTTACTGTTACCTGTACTATCATCCAGTTAGCTGAGTGCTCCCGCTGAAAGCTAACTTTCTACTGCGCTAGTGAAGAGAGCGTCTCCGCCCTCCTCCTCACTACATACTTTTGGTTCTTTACCTGTACTATCATCCAGTTAGCTGAGTGCTCCCGGTGAAAGCTAACTTTCTACTGTACTAGTGAAGGGAGCGTCTCCGCCCTCCTCCTCACTACATACTTTTGGTTCTTTACCTGTACTATCATCCAGTTAGCTGAGTGCTCCCGGTGAAAGCTAACTTTCTACTGCACTAGTGAAGGGAGCGTCTCCGCCCTCCTCCTCACTACATACTTTGGTTCTTTACCTGTACTATCATCCAGTTAGCTGAGTGCTCCCGCTGAAAGCTAACTTTCTACTGCACTAGTGAAGGGAGCGTCTCCGCCCTCCTCCTCACTACATACTTTTGGTTCTTTACCTGTACTATCATCCAGTTAGCTGAGTGCTCCCGTTGAAAGCTAACTTTCTACTGCACTAGTGAAGGGAGCGTCTCCGCCCCCCCTTTCACTGCATACATTGGTTCCTTGCCTGTTCTATCGTCCAGTTAGCTGAGTGTTTTCGTTCAAGCTAACTGTTACGGCGTTAGTGAAGGGAGCGTCTCCGCCCCCCCCCTCTCACTACATACAATTGTTTCTTTACCTGTTCTATCGTCCAGTTAAGCTGAGTGTTTTCGTTCAAGTTAACTGTTACGGCGCGAGTGAAGGGAGCGTCTCCGCTCCCCTCTCACCGCATACATTGTTTCTTTACCTGTTCTATCGTCCAGTTAAACTGAGTGGTTTCATTCAAGCTAACTGTTACGGCGCTAGTGAAGGGAGCGTCTCCGCCCCCCTCTCACAGCTCACAATTAGTTCCTGTTCTATCCTCCAGTTAGCTGAGTACTCTCGCTCAAAGCTAACTTGCTACAGTGCTAGTGAAGAGAGTGTCTTCACTCCCCTCTCACAGCTCACAATTAATTCCTGTTCTATCCTCTAGTTAGCGGAGTGCTCTCGCTCAAAGCTAACTTGCTACAGCGCTAGTGAAGAGAGTGTCTTCACTCCCCTCTCACAGCTCACAATTAGTTCCTGTTCTATCCTCCAGTTAGCTGAGTGCTCTCGCTCAAAGCTAACTTGCTATAGTGCTAGTGAAGAGAGTGTCTTCGCTTCCCTTTTCACTGCACACAGTTGGTTCCTGTTCCATCCTCCAGTTAACTGAGTGCTCTCGCTCAAAGCTAACTTGCTACAGCGCTAGTGAAGAGAGTGAATCCGCTCCCCTCTCCCTGCACACAGTTGGATGCCCGTTCCAGCCTTCAGTTAGCAGAGTGCTCTCGCTTAGGCTAACTCGCTACGGCGCTAGTGGAGAGAGTATTCCGCTCTCCTCTCACGGCATAAACCCATTAACTGACTTCATTTTTTCTCACTCCAGTTAGCAGAGTGCTCACGCTCAAGCTAACTACTATTGTGCTCACTCCCCTCCACGGCATATTTGTTTCCTGGCCAGTTATTTACAGGCAGCTGAGTGCTCTAGCTATCGCTAGGTCTAACGGCTCTAACACCTGTATGGCTCCTCTTTAACCAGAGGATGGCCATGACCTTTGCCCCTCTTGTCTTGGCCTCGAGCATCTGAGGGAGGGCCTTCGGAGGACCCGTGCATGAATTGCACCATCATGCCTCGTGCGGTAAGAGCTGCCGAGGTTGAACTACTGACTGAGGGTGGCCTTCCCCCCGCACAGTCGACTCCAGCCCAACCTACCCATCC